CCTCAGTCTCCTCCAGCTGAACAGACCAAGTGCCCTCAGCTGCTCCTTGTGTGGCTTCACCTCCAGACCTTTCCCCATCTTCATGTCCCTCCTTCAGACACTCGCTAAGAGCTTTAGATCTTTCTTACATTGTTGCACCCAAAACTACATACAATATTCTTGGTGAGGCCGCCCCAGCCCTGAGCAGGCCAAAACAGTTGTGTCCGTCCCCGCCCCCTCTCCAGCCCAGCCAGCAATGCTGGGTCTGGTGCCCCCAGGACAGGGATGTCCCTCGTGGCTCCAGGGCGCTGCTGACTCACATCCAACTGGCCATTGACCAGGACCTCCATGTCCCTTTCATGGCACGACTCTCCAGCATCTTATTCCCCASTTTGCTGGTACATCCAGAATTGTCCTGTCCCCGGTGCAGAATTCAGCCTTCATCTTTGTTAAATTTCACATAGTTGGTGATTGCCTAGCCCTGAAGGTCTCTCTGCAGGACCTCTCTGCCCCTGAGGGGACAGCTCCTCCCACTTTTGTATCATCTGCAAACTTACTTAGTATCCTTTCCAGTCCCGCCTTCAAGTCTTTAAAAGAGGATTTTTAAGAGAACTGTGCCTAAGATGGCACCCTGCAGAACTACACAAAGGACAGGCTGCCAATCTGATGTCACCCTAGCGACTGTCACCCTTTGTACCTAACCCATGAGCCAGTTGCTCACCCTTCACACGATGTGTTTATCCAGCTGTGGGCTGGACACTGAAATCCAAAAAGATTACATCTACTGACTTTTCTTAATCAGCTGGGTTAATAGGCATAAAAGGAAATTAGTATTGAGAAGCAGGATTTTCCTTTCATGAAGCTGAGCTGGCTGCTTGATAACCAATGACTGTGTTGTCCTTCAGGTGTTTTTCAGTACCTCCCAGAATAATCATCATCATCATCTCCATGATTTTACCAGGCACTGGAGTAAGACTGACAGGGCTTTAGCTTCCAGGATCAGCCTTCTTGCCCTCTTTGAAAACCAGGACCTCTCCAGATTCACAAGACTGTTCAAAAATCAAGAGAAGCCTCATGATAACATCAGCCAGCTCTTTATATATTCTCAGATGAATCCCATCAAATCCCATGGATTTATAGGGATGTGGCTAGAGCAGCAGATCCCTCACAAGTTCAGGGTTAACTGGGAGTTTATCATTCTAACAGTCACAGTCCTCCAGCTCAGGGTGCTGGGACCTCCTTAGTTCATCATCAGTGTTGAAGATAGGGGCAAAGAAAGCATTAAACATCTCTACCTTGTCCATGGCCCTGTTTGTGAGGTGACCATCCTCATCCTGTAAAGGGCTGATGTCATTTCAGCACTGCCTCTTGCCATTAATGTATTTTAAAAACCGTCTTTTTATTGTCCCCCCCCCATTTTTGGCAACTTCAATTGCAATGAGCTTTGGCCACATGAATTCTCTCCCTACAGTGGTGACCAGCATCTCCTTCCACATCACCTGACCTTGCTTCCACTGGGCATACACCTTCCTTCTTCACCTTACCTCCACTAGAAGATTCCTGTTCAGCCAAGGTGGCCTTCCACCTCATCTGCTTGACTTCTGATATTTAGGAGTTGTCTGCTCCTGTCCCCTCAGGAGCCGGTGCTTAAAAAGTAACGAGCACTGATGGGCCCCAGCACCTTCAAAAGGATTTTCCCAGGGGACTTTACTTACTGGTTCCCTGAGCAGCCTGAAGTTTGCTCTCCTCATGTCCGGGGTTGAAGTTTTGATGGTGCTTTTCCTCCTGGCACCAGAGATTTTAAACTCAATTACTTCAAGGTCGTTGTGGCAAAGATAGCTACCAATCCCCAACAAGCTCGTGAGATCTTCTATGCTGACGAGCAACAAATCAAGGAGGGCATCCTTCTGAGTCAGCTATCTTAGCAACTGTACCATGAAGTTGTCATTCAGGTGTTTCAGGAATACATAGGGAGTATATGAAAATTGTGTTAAGAAACAGAAAATAATTTAAAGCCTGCTGTAGATCTGATTACCATCTCCCCATGGAATGTGTTCCCTATGTGTCCAGGTCATTTTATTGTAATAATGCATTTGAAATTAACCTCTTATGAAATGAGAAGAGTAAAACATTCTGGGGTTCTGCCTGTGCCAAATCAAAGCTTCTGTCTGGAAGGTGAAATGTAAGCAATATGCGGTTATTGCTCTTTTAGACATGCAGTGACTAACAAATAAGAGAAACACAGTATATCAGTATATCAGTTTTAATACAACCTTTTCCTAAATGGCATTTTATGCTGGAAAGTGCAGTGCTACCATTCACAAGGGAAGACTTGTGAGTTAGATGTAAATTTAATGTGAGCAGGAGTACGTTTCATGGTTTCTCAGACACTGTCACAGCACACTACTGATTAAACACTACATTGCAGATCAAAAGAGATGGAGTCATCAATTTTTGTTGGAAATGGGTTGTATAAAACAACATATTAACTTTGCTGTCTGGTCCTGTCCACCCCCTGTTGCCTTGAAAGGGCCAGTTTTTAATGACACAGACACGGTTAAGGGGATAAAAAGGGTTTTACCTCGGTATTTGGGATCCCAGGTGCACAACTTGATGGCAAAATGCACACCCGTGTATAGCACAGATACAAGTTTTATAGGTTTCAGGAATTAGCATATCTACATAGGATTCCCTGATAAGAAATTTAACAAATGCAGTAATGTCCCCCTATTCTAATGAATCCCTCCCCAGATGAGGCCAGAGCTTAGTTTACACAAGATGTTCCAGAGAGAAGGCTTCACCTAAGGCTGGAGCCTCGAGTTTAAGATAGCACAGGGCATGATGACTCCTTCCTCAGGATGTTTGGTCTCTCTGCCCAGCAGAACTCCTAAACTAAGCTGGAATATCAGGTTCCAGGAATTACAAGCATGTGGGCTAAGGGGTACAGGTGGATGCATAGAGGGTACAGAAAGCGTAAAAAGGAAGAGCAAAAATCATCAGGCATCACCCCCATCCATTCCTCCTCTCTCCACCAGTCCTCCCTTCCCCTGATTTAAAAAGAAATGTTTCCTGCTCCCTCTACTAGTGTTCACTGGTGGTGCTGAGCAGTACTGGATATGCTGTTCCAATGTGGTGCCCGTGGCGCCAGACAACCAACTGTAGCTCATACTCATCTATCTTCACTCTTTCACGTGAGACTGTTTCTTCAGACAGCAGGAAAATGATGGTATAAATGGCAAATTCAAACTCCGGGCTGACACCAATAAAGGTGCTTCCAATTGGCTTGATTGAGTCCTTCCAGCTGAACTGGATGCTCAAAACTTGATCATCTCTGTCAGGCTGAAAGCATAAACAAAACAAAGAATAATCTCCAACACAGATGTGACGGCTACAATTCCTGATTCCAGATTTTTGAGAGCTTTGTACAATTCAGTTATCCTTGGTGTGCCTGGGTGCTATAGCCAGAGAGCACTTTTTTCCCTGACCTCTGGAGCATACATTACCATTTATCCCAACTAAGTCTCATCAGTGTTGCAATTCTGGAAACACCAGCACTTGCTTTTTTAAATAGTTTTTRCAAAAAAGCCACAAAGCATGTTAATATTCATTCTGTTTAAATACAATTACATACTGTATATAGTTATTACTACTCAAAAAACTGAGCTGATGATTGCATCATTACACCTTGTTCCATTACAACTTTTATCTCTGAATCTATTTGTCTTACTTGCAAAGGCCTCCTGCTTGTTCTTACCCTGGTTTTATTCTTCCGAGCCACATATCCCTTGTAATCAATCTGGCTGCGCTTTTCCTGAAGGTAAAATTGCACCCAGTTGTGCAAACCTAAAATCTCTTTACCACGCCTTGTTTCTCCTACAAAAACATGCTCAAAGCCACAAGAATCAGGCCTGTAATTAAGGGGGGAAAAAAAAAGAAGAAGAAAGAATTATGTGTAGGTCTTTCATAGGTTTCATAGAGTCATAAAATGCTTTGGGAAGAGAAGTGAAAAGTTATCTAGTTCCCTCCCCTGACAGGGGCAGGAACACCTTCCACTATCCCAGACTGCTCCAAGCCCCATGCAACTTGGTCTTGGACACTGYCAGGGATGGGGCAGTGACAGCTTCTCTGGGCAACCTGTGCCAGGGCCTCTCCACCCTCACAGGGAACAATTTCTTCCCAATATCCAATCTAAACCTCTTCTCTGTCAATGTGACACCATTCTGAAGCTGTCTTCCACTTCTGTGTGTAACAGATGGTACTCGGGTTTATATTTACCCAGATCAGAATAGCACAGAGATTATCAGTGTCTATATCCATCAAACATACCTGTCTCCTTCTTTCCTGGCATAGAGCTGGAACCAGATGTCATAAAGCTGATGCTTGAAATCGGCAAGGGTTGGCTTTGCTAGTTTTTTTTTCAGCAGATAGTCATGAGCTAGCTGAAGGATAGAAAATTAAAATATATACACAGTTTACTTTTGTAATTCAGTGTTTTCAACAACAAAAAAAAAATCTGTGTTACTCACTTTCATGACTTGTGTTGCTAAAATTGCATCAAGAAAACAATTGTTTTCAACTATTTCTTCTGGAGTCACTACTTCTGCTACACCAGTTGATGTCTCATAGTTGTCCAATAAGGAGATAAAGGCTGCAGAAAAAAGAGAAACTTTCAGCCTGCTCATATGCCTGATCCAGGCATTAGAGTGCTATCATAAAAAGACACCATAGGATATGCCTTGGCAGCCCTTAGAGAAAGCCATTCCTTTATATGTCAGATTCCACTCTCAGGTACACTGTGAGGCGTAGGGCTGGAGGTGACTGTAGCCAGATCATTGCTGTACTTTTTTAAGATGTTTTTTAAGATAGACAGCCACTGAACTTCCTTATGGAGCCAAGTGCTGAAGTAATAATGAGTTTCTACCAAAATTAATCATATCTGACCACCACAATTACAGACACAGGCGAAGGAACTTGAGCTATACTGGCAGAAGGTTTTGTGGGCATTATTTCAGTAGAGGAATAGTACAGCATAAAGCTACATGCGATGGTTTGAGCTTGAGAAAAATTAGGGAAGGAAACATACATTCCTAGACATGGCTGAAGTTCAGCCCCCAACAGAAATGCAAGAACTAGCTGTGGATCTAGTACCACTACTGAAAGGGCTTGGAAGCTCTTTGTGAGTACAGGAGTAAATATTTGGTGTCTTTTTCATTACATAGAATCATAGAATGCTTTGGGTTGGAAAGACTGTAAAGATCAGCCAGTTCCAACACCCTGCCATAGGCAGGGACACCTTCCACTATTCCAGGTTGCTCAGAGCCCCATCCAGCCTTGCCTAGAACACTGCCAGGGATGGGACTGCCACAGCTTCTCTGGACAAACTCTGTCTCAACCACCATCACCGGAAAGAATTTCTTTCTAAATTTTAATCTTAACCTACTCTCTGTCAGTGTGAAGCCATTCCCTCATGTCCTGTCACCCTTGTCAAGAGTCTCTCTCCATCTTTCTTGTAGGCTCCCTTCAGGCACTGAAAAGCCACAATGAGTCATCCCAAAGCCTTCTCTTGTCTAGGCTGAACAATCCCAACTCTCTCAGCCTTTCCTCCCAGCAGAGCTGCTCCATCCCTCTGATCCCCTCGGTGTCCCTGCTCYGGACTGGCTCCAGCAGCTCCCTGTCCTTGCTGTGCTGGGCCCAGGGCTGGATGCAGCTCTGCAGGGGGGGCTCAGCAGAGCAGAGGGGCAGAATCCCCCCCTCCCCTGCTGCCCACAGGGCTCTGGGCGCAGCCCAGCACAGGGTTGGTTCTGGGTCCCAGCATACATGGCCAGGGCAGGGCCAGCTGTCACCCACAGCACTCCCAAGTCCTTCTCTCAGGGCTGCTCCGTCTGCTCATACAGCCAGGACTGATCCCAGGGATTGTCCAGACCCAGGTACAGCACTAATAGTTGGTCTTGTAAAACCCCATGAGATCCCCTTGGGCCACTCCTCGAGCTTGTGGTAAGTGTCTCATCCTTTTTACTTTCTAGTGGCAAAACCAGAGAATTCAGATTTTGCCTACAGCATAAAAGAATGTTCCTCCTGAGGTTCAGGTACATGTAAGCTCCATGCAACTCTTATGAAAATTCCCTTCAAATGACCGGCAGCCTGATGATCCTCACCGCCATTCAAAATATATATAATGTTATATTTTAGGTAAAAACGTAAAAACCAGCACAGATTTTTTTTATATCACGTCCACTATTAACAAAAGAGCAGGTCTCACTTGCAAAAGTTTTTATGCTCTTCAGGCGTTCTTCATTTACATTTTGAAACAGATGTCTGGCTGCATTGTCCTGGACAGCACTGTCACCTTGCTGTGCTGGACCTGCTTTTCCCTAGGAGAAAACCAGAGGAAAACAATGTAAGGAATAAGATGCCCTTGAAAGAGAGAGTGCCTGCCCCTGTAATAAAAACCTCAAATCAAACCTCATAATGCTATCAGAATTCTTTGTTAGGCATTGTCTTCCTGTCAAACAAGAGCAGACATTACAAAACTGCCAGCATAAAGAAAAAACAGATGATCTCTGACTCTGTAAGAGCCTGAAATCTCCCTGTTGACTCAGAGATGATTGTGATAGCCCATGTGATAGTTCAGTAGTGCTCAGTAACCAGCTGTGCTATTATGCTATATACATCCCAAATGGTAAATAGAAGTAATGTAGAGCAAGGGCTCCCTCCCACCACAAATAAATAAAAGGGAGATTTGGGTACCTTCTGTCTCTGCAGTTATAAGGAGGCCTTCCTGATAATTTTCAAATTTCTATTTCATAAAGGGCATTCTCAAGGAAAGAAGATAGAAGATGAGTAGCAGTTTGTTAACATGAGCTTTGTTCTGACAAATGGAAAAATCATATGGGAGAAGTTTTCCCTACACATTTTGGCTTGAGGTAGGTACCCCTATTTTGAGTTTATCACCAACAGAAAATTATATGTTATAATATGAAGCAACATTAGAATAAAGTGTTTGAGTAACATCAGAATAAAGTGAGTTCTTGTGGAGTACAAAACTGGATTCTGAATATTCTGGCCGGTTGCAATTTGTGGCCAAAACACATGGTCATGTTTGCACTGCATTGAGCTAGCAAAATGTGAAATGGCTGCTTATCAAATCTCTCACTCTTCTCCCACAGTTCCCTGGGACTGAAACCAACACTCCTGAAATCTTCTTCACTCACACCTCTGTGCTACTCTCTACTCTTCCAGGAATTCCTCAAATTCCTCCCTTATTCCCCTAAGAATGACATGGGACCTCTCTCCCCTTCTCTCTTGCTGCAAGTCACCCAGACCACACACACAAGCTACCATTCACCACTGAAACACTCAGGGTGGAGGGGGCCCCAGCACATCTGTAGTGCTGCTCAGAGTGTAGTTAACACTGAATTCAGACTATATTTCCCAGGGTGTCATCTTGTTGGCTCCTGAAAACCTCAGGAGATGGAGATTTCATAGCTTCTCTGGGCATCCTGTTCCTTTGCTGCTGTTGAATTTCATCATGTTCCTTCCTTAGCCTATTCCTCCAGCCTGCCTATGACCAGCAGAAGAGAAGCCCTGCACTTGTACAAACCAACATCATCACCACAGTTGCTGTCATCTACAAAAGTGGATGTCATCTACAAAAGTGCACTTGAATTCCTCCTCCAGCTCACAGACAGAGATATGAAATATTGCAGGGCCCAAAATAGACACCTGAGAGACTCCATTTATATCCAAAGGCCAGGTAAGTGGGAACTATTTGTGTTCTGCCATTCCGTCCCTTAAGGGATGCTCCTTCACTGGATGTGACAAAGCACAGGCAACTTTTTTAGCAAAAGGCACTTTTGCAGGCACCTTTTCCTGCAGCACCACACTCTTAATCCTTAATCCTTACTTAGCAATTGGTTACCTGCACATCAATGGTGTAGTCTTTCCCAGGTGTGAGGCGGTGAACATCTGCATCCCACATTTCATTGAAAAGCTTAGAAAGTTCAGGATTTAAGGCCTTCCTGTCAATTAATACAGAGGAATACACGTGTTAAACAAAGGCACATGCTGTTATTTCTGCAAGTCACTTCGAGAGTCTTCTAATGTCACTCCATGTTCTAGATATCAGCTTGTCATCAAGTTTTTCTTTCTCCCCACACCTTCCTGTCAGTGCCACTGTAAAAACCCCAACACTTATGGTGCACATTCCTTTTTAAAGAATGCAGATAACCTGTAAGGAAACCTGAGCTTTCCCTAAGGTTTCGTCAGAGTATATTTCAACAAGTTCTTGTTGATAAGTCTTCCTGTGGTTTACCATGCAATGAAACAAAAAGGAAGATGGTGGTGTTTCATTCCTCAGGATTCTGCACACAAACCAGAGGCAAGTGGGAGATTGTTACCAGTGTGCAGTAACACTGCCAACAGAACAGGAAGCAAAGAGTTCTCTATGATGCTTTTCTAGCAGCAATCATTTAAACTCATCCTACCCCTTTTCCTTCAAGGAAGATTCCACACTAGAATGCTTTTCTTTGCCATGTGATTATCCCGGCATAAAGGCAGCATGACAAAGGGTGAGTAAGGCTCTAAACACAGGGTCTGCCTACAATAAATATCCCTCATGCACTGATCTCTGATGCCCATACAGACCTACCCAAGCCTCTCCTTCTCTTATTTTTAATGGAATCTTGTCCTGCATAATAGTGTAAAGTTTTCAGAAGTCTATCCATTCATCGATTAACAAGATTTAGGAAGGGTTGTTATTGTGATGAAGTATTCRGAGGTAGCTCTAGTTTCAAGTACATTATGTTCACACCAAGAGGAGATCAAGACAACAGAGTGGAGAAGAAGAGAAGTGGATTAACCTTTACATGACTGATATCGGCATCAATCAGTTACAAACCAGCAGATGCATCAAAGCCCAGAGAAGAACCACTTGATAATTTTGAATTCTCTTCCAAAAGAGATGTTTTCCAGAAAAAGAAGAACAGTAAAGAAATGTGACAACAATTGGCATTTCTTTTATCTTTTTGGGCAACTTGCCATAATTTTAACAACTGGTTCTCCCAGAATAAACTAAGGCACCTTCAAGCCCAGCTCTGAACCTCTGGTTATTGTTATGTCTTCTCCTTCTGTTCTGGCCAGGATGGCAATAACTCACTGCATCCTCCTGCGAATGTCAAATTCCACGCTCTCTAGCAGAAAGAGCAAACAAAGATTGTGGCAAGGGCTCAAGGGCAGGGCAGATAACCATAACTACTGCAGCTGCCACACCTCAGTCTGCCTGTAACCGTGGATCTGAGCCCTCATGTTCCTGTGCAATGCTGGAGACACTGACAGTCGATTTTCCCTTGGGTTCTCTGGTACTTTGGGATAGTTGTGGATGGGAAATCTACAAGATCACTTGAATTTTTAACTGGGCTTGAACAGATGCCAATACCTGAAAAAAGGAAAAGGACGAAAAATTCTAGTCTATAGGAGCCAAAGTTTATGTTAGTCCGAACGTGAAGGGAAGATTTCTGCTTGGAACAGGTACTTGCATGGATCTCACCGTGGAGAAGGAGGCTATCACAAAGGAGCTGTATTCAGCCCCTGCCCAAAATGCAGGCTCTGCTTGTACAACAGAAGTGGGGTTTGTGGCATCACATTATTGACACTGGCTGGGCAGCCCAAGTGAGGCCCCTGCTCAATGTCCCAGGGAGCTGCCTTGTGGCTTAACTCACCAACAGCAGCAGTTTTATTTATTTCCAGCCATACCTCCATATTCTTTCCAGAGCCTTAAGAGCAAACCCTTCTCAAAAGAGCTTACAAACCAAAACCAAACAGAAAACTGCTCATCTCAGCAGCTCAGCTGAAGTCCCAAGAACAGGACTGGTGAGTTCACAGAACAGTATTAGAGATGTTTTTCAGACCTCCAAACCTTTACCTTGGACTGCCCTAATTTCATTGGATCACTTTTGTCCTAGGTTCTGGACCCTTCTGCTTTCTGTTCCTTTGCACCAGCTGATCCTGTTTGAGGATCATCATATTATGTTTAAGAGAGTTTTTACTTAGGAAGTAACTGCTAGTGGTGGAGAGGAGTCTGTTGCCTGCTGAATATCCAAGGTATGTGAAACATTAGGGAGGGTCTCAGTTGGGTTTTGTTATAATATTTTGTGCCACAGATGCAGTATTTTATAGACATATATTTTAGTATGTGTGTATTTTGGTAAAAGTCACATATCTAGGAGAGATATGTCATCCCTTTAATACCCACTGCTTGTTCTCAGTTCTTGGCAGATTAGTCCTGTATTTATAAAACAGTGTAGGGCTCTGTTTGACCTTTCCTCCTTTAGAAATATTGTGGAATATCTCATGAGCTCAAGGTGTCTGCTCAGGAGAGGGTTACAGCAAGAGTGTACCTACACATTTCAATTCTCATTTTTGTTTAATAAGTATACTTCAACTAAATTTATTCCCAAAACTGAAATCACTAGATTTTACACAATAAAAATCTTTACTCTCCTTTTCTCTGCTACCACAATATCATCATGGACTTTTCCTCTCCTTTTCATTTTCCCTTTAGTTTCCAAACAGACAGAGCACCTGTATATGCTGTAACTGAAGATTTTTAAAACATACCCTTGCCAAAGCAAAAAACTTGTCTAGCAACTTACACAGTCATCTTGTAAAAACTCTTTCTGGATGATATTTCTTTAAAAAGGGCCATAAACTTAGCTTACACATACAAGGTGAGACAACTTCAATGAGAAGAATGAGAAGATGCCCAACACCTTCATGCAAATCCATGACACACCAGYATTTAGGTAAGGTTGTCTTGGAAAAGAGTATTGTGTATTTACTCGCTGGTTTTCAACACAGTGGTATGCGTGACTCAAAACAGAGATTTTTATCATCAATGCTCAATCCCCTCCCTATGGTGAAAGCTCTGAGTTGTTAGATTTATGCTTTCACATAGAATAAATTATTTCTGTGCGAGAAGTCTGGCCAATTGGATTTCRTCCAGTTGGAGCCTTGCTTGGATGTGCTTACGTGAGCAAAGCACCAGCCCAACAACAACACTCAGTCTGCACTTTTAAGAGCTGAGAAAACTTTTGGGGGACGCTCTTTGCAATAGTAATTGATACACAAGCTGTGGTTAGAGCAGAAGAATCTAACATTTTCATTTGATTTTTCATTCTACCCAAAACAATGCTCCAAGAAGAAAACTTTATTGCTATAAATCAGAAATTACTCAAGATATGAAGAGTATTAAAGGTCACTGGCARATAATGTGAGCAAGTCAACAGTGTCAGAGCAAGAAAAACATGTATTGCAAATGTGTCACATGAAGCGCTGCAAAGAAGGTATGAACATCTTCTCCAAAGTAAATTTACCTTCAGAGATCCTTTCAACAACATGCAATTTGATACATCCTTTAACCTTTACATAGAGAAGAAAAGGATTTAGAATACCTGATGAACAGCCATTTACAAGAAGTTTCCAATCATTTAAAAAACTTGATTCAAAGTTGTGAAATACATGCAACAGCTAATATGGCTTACAGAAGATAGAAGCAATTCTCTAGATTTTCATCTTATGCCAGTGTCTATGTCTTTTATTTGAGTCAAGTGATTTTTTTTTTTCATTAAAAGCTGGTATTTGAAATACCAAAGGATAAATAAGGGAGGTTTTGTAGGTGGAAAGGAAAAGACAGTGTCAAGGGGCAAACATAAGAGTAGGCACCTACCAGCAAACAATCTGTCAAAGTGATATTTGAAGAACTGATTCTAAGCTATGTTTAAGCACAATCTGATCTTAGCATTGCCTTTATTTTAAACTAATGGTTCAGTAGCCTAACGATGTTTTACACTGTGGTGAGTTTGTAAAACAGAATAGAAAGAGGAAGAGGGTTCTTGTGCAGCATATCACATAATATTCRCCCTTTTACAGATAAATATATCCCATCCCCACTACCCTTCCTGTTAGAGAAGAATTGGTATGATTGTCTCTTACCCACTTGCCATGCCAGGAAGAAGTTTTTTCTTAGCAGATGCTCTGAGCAGTACTGAAGCTCAGCAATCCTCCTGAAGTCCAAGGCACRGAGCTGTGCTCCTCTTATACTCCTCCTGCCTGCTGACAACTGTCACTCAGCCTGACAGGAAGGCACGGGAGAGGCAGGAGGTGCCAACTGTCACAAGAGTCTAAGGCCAACACCACAACTCATGCCTCTCTCAGTGCAGGAACACTCACACCAGGAAGTCAGAGCCAACTGTAATAGGCTCCTGCCTCTCCTTATCTTGCAGTTTGGATTATTTGCCAAACAGATTTTACATCTCTGAGTGAAGCTTGAGCCCAGAAATAAGCACTGCAAGTCTGAAAGCCTTGAGACAGATGGGACATTGTTATTCTGTATCCAGTTATTATTTGACAATAGAAGGGAAGCTTTTAATCTCAGATGATTAATCTGAAATTAAAAAAATACATAGGTGGGGAAGAAAAAAACCCCAACAAATGCTTCTCTATTTACAGCTGAAACTGCCAATTGTGATCTTGTGAATACTAGGAGATATTATAACCAGGAAAAGTTTTAGAAAGGCAGAACTTTGTATGTGCCACTGGAAGCAAGTGGTGGCAGGTGCTGGTAGGTGCAGGTACCCACTCCAGTACCTGTCCTGGGAAACTTGCACTTATTATGTGGCTAAATTAACCTTCAGATAGTTTAAAGCTTACTGTTAGTCACTTGGTACCTGTAGCATTATCTTCATAATAATAATTACAATAATTAATTACTGAAAAGCATCACTTTAGTCCAAACTATATATATATGTACATACAGAAGCCAAAATGGCTTGAAGTTAGCTACCAYTCATACAAATGGTTCTGCACTCCTGGTCCATGTACCCCTTCAAAGAATCAATTCAGAGCCAAATAGCACTCCTGGTAAYTGAAGACACCTGRCACATAGAACTGCACAGGGAACAAYGCATCTGCCCACTTAAAACTCWTRAAAGCAAAACTTCCTTCTGACACTGGCAAGGGAAATTAAAGTATMTCAAAATTGAATATCCTTAATTTTAACAGAAATTTTCTTTACCATTTTTGGTTAATATTTATTGGAGTTAGGGTAAACAAGGTAAATGACAAATATCCAATGCCCTGGATTAGTCAACTGCCCYAGTTTATCAACTGAATGCAGGAACTCTTTTTCCTATGCTTTCATTTAAAACAGAAAAGCCTTTGGGCATATTCTGTCTATAAGAAAGTTGTGACTTCTTTAGTCACATTAGCAGAAAGAGCCCAGATGGGAGCCCAGGAAATTTTTGCATACAAGCATCTTCACTGGAGTCAGCGGTTTTGAGTCAATCTTTAATAAAATTACAGCTCRGTCAGTAACATCACCAGCAATGTCACAACTGTGTACTTAATTTTTTTTTAAAACTTCTGTCTTTTGATTTAGACACTGAGCTAAGAAAAACACAAAGATCCTGAAGAGAGTGAAAGGGTGTGTTTGCCAACAGAAACAAAGCACTGATCAAAGGCAAATTAGATCAGCACGGAATCTGCGTAATTTCTGGGTCTAATGCAGGAAAAAAAAGAGTGCAGAGAGCAGTTTTGTTGTCTACATTGGTTGGCTTCCTCCACAGCAGAGCCCAGCCAGTGCTTTGTCAAACCCATTGCAAAGAGCAGTGGATGTGGATTTTGTGCAMGAGTTGAGGCCAGGCTGCCCCAGTGCTCTGTTCCTCTTTATCTGTCACAAGGGAGTGGGGAGAGTCTTTGGTGCTGTCTCACTCACATGTGACCAACATTTCCAAAGGAGTGGAGCAAGAAACTTGTGGAAGGTGTTCTACCTGACAAAACTACCACCTCAAGCATCAGATGCTGACCTTTGCCAAGGTTAAGGATCAAGGATATCCTGGGAATAAAACATATTTCTAAAGCATGTAGGCATCTCTGCATTTYCAGACTAAATATTTTGCTTTTCCAACCAAGGTGACCAATGAATAAGTGTTGGTTTGTCACCTCTAGTGTGGTGCCTACATTTCCCTGAAGGAAGAAGGGGCTTGTGCAGAGTTAATTTAAACCTCTTTGGCAGATCAAGAGTGGTTTGAGTGAGAACACTGAGTTTTACAGGCTTCTAGAGCAAAGCAGCCAGGACTCACACCTACACAAAGGGCACATTTGGGTTGAACAGGCTTGCTCAGGGAGGCTGAGTAAAAGCTGCCAGCTGGAACAAGCACCCTGCAGATTGAYAGTAGGCTCAGTCCTTCCCCAGAAAAAGGCAGACTAAGTCTTTGAGTCATGCTTTGCATGTGGATGTAAAGAAGAGGAAAGTTTCTAAGACACTGAGGATGCTGGACATTCCTAAGGGAGCTTTGGCTATTGCTGCCAAGTCCCCACAAGCTGACCCACACTGAAAAACAGCGAAGACACAGTCTGGGCTGGTCAGTGGGAATCCAGCCAGGACAGAGCTCACTGAGAGCAGAGCATGGGGACACCGAGGTGTCCACCCTTCCTTAAATATTAATATTCAAGTTGGAGCCTCTCCTACCAGATTGTTTCCCACCAAACTCCAGGGTCCTTATGCCTGTCTCAGTTATCTCCCTTCTCCTAAGCCTAAGCCTCACCTTCTTTATCCTGGAGTCCTTCTCTCAAACCAGTGGTGTTACAAACCCTCCACTTACTGAGGARTTTCTGGTGCAGCAGCAGTCATCCTCAAAGAGAAAAGTAAGAGGATTACACAGAAATTCCAGGAATAAATAAGTCCATCCCTGCAGCTAAATGTGTGTACCTAGACTGTGACACAACCTCTTCACCTTTAGATTGGTCTGCTAACATTCTTCCACTTACCAGTGCTAATTCCCAGGTTTAATAAGTAAATCATGACTGACGTAAGTTCTCACTGCTAGATCAGCCAGCTACGTACTCAGCAAACCTCCAAGAGGCTGAAAGAAAATATTTACTTAGGCACACAGGGGAAGGAAGGAAGGAAGAAATCTTTTTTACTACATTTTAGGGCTGCCAAGCATGTCTCTTTCTTGATTTTGTAAGGAAAAATGGTGTCTAGGAATCATTGAAGACATATTAGGAAGACACGGTATGTAAAGACATATTAATTAAAGAGCATTGAAGTGTTTAACTTTTAACACAAAGATACATTTGCTTATTAGTCACTAATTTTCACACATGGGTGTAAACCAAAATTTTAGGCAGCCCAGCTCAAACATCCTACCTTGTTGCACAGCTCAGTTCTGGTGCTTTTTGGATAAACATTGCCATTAATGAATTTTTAAGGCTGAGAGAACTGGGATTGTTCACCTGGAGACGAGCAGGCTTTGGGGTGACCTCACTGTGGCCTTGCAGTGCCTGAAGGGARCCCACAGGAAAGATGGAGAGAGATCCTTGTCAAGGACCTGGARTGACAGGACAAGGGGGAATGGCTTCAGACTGACAGAGAGCAGGTTTGAATTGGATATGAGGAAGAAATCATTCCCTGTGAGGGTGGARAGGCCCTGGCACAGGTTGCCCAGAGAAGCTGTGGCTGCCACATCCCTGGCAGTTCCAGGTCAGGTTGGATGAGGCTTGGAGCAGTCTGGGATAGTGGAAGGTGACCCTGCTCGTGGCAGAGGTGGCACTGGGTGATCKTTAAGGTCCCTTCCAACCAAGTGCATTCTGTGACTAATTACGCAGTCAATAAAGCGCACAAGGGCGCTCGGGAAGCGGTCACACGGAACAGGGGGCCCGCGGAAGGGTCCGGCCAGCACCGCGCCCATTGGCGGGACCCGCAGTGACGTCACGAGGCGGGGCGGGGTAAGCAGCTGTGCGCGGTGTGTGGCGTCACGGGGCGGAGCGGGACCGGCGCGGATCATCGCGTGTGTGACGTCACGGGGCGGAGCGGGACCGGCGCGGATCATCGCGGTGTGTGACGTCACGGGGCGGAGCGGGACCGGCGCGGATCATCGCGGTGTGTGACGTCACGGGGCGGAGCGGGACCGGCGCGGATCATCGCGGTGTGTGRCGKCACGGGGCGGAGCGGGRCCGGCGCGGATCATCGCGGTGTGTGGCGGCACGGGGCGGAGCGGGGCGGTGCCCGCGGTGTGTCGGGGTAGCCATGGGGGCGCCGCTCAGCACGGTGAGTGCCGGGGGGCGGCCGGGAGAAGGGGTCCCTTCCTGTTCTCCTCCTGCTCCGCCCGCAGCGCTCCGGGGCGTGGCGCTGTCTCKGGTGTCCTGGGGTGTCCCCGCTATCTCCCACTGTGCCGGGAGCCCCGCGGGTCCCCCCGCGGCACGGCGGAGGCTCCGGGGCCGTTCCGCGGCTCCTGCGCCCGGGGCAGTGTTGGTGCCTGTGCTGGCTGCCTGSCCCGGGGGTTTTGCGCTCCCAGCTCCGCGGATAACTGTTGTTGTTATTGTTGTTACTGTTGTCATTGTTGCTTTATTGTTGAGGGCCCGCGCTGATGGCTCTGAACGCTTGTGGTGTTTTCCTCCGTAGAAATAATTTTAGACTGGAGCAGCGTAGGTTTAAGGTGGAAATATCAGGAAGAAATTCTTCCCCGTGAGGGTGCTGAGGCCCTGGCACCGATTTCCCGAAGTTGTGGCTGCCCCATCCCTGGCAGTGTCCAAGGCCAGGCTGGATGGGGCTCKGAGCAGCCTGGGATAGTGGAAGGTGTCCCTGCCTACGGTGGTGGAACGAGATGATCTTTAAGTTGCTTCCAGTCCAAACCATCCTACTATTCAGTGATCATGTCTGCTGAGCAGTGTGTCTGCAGCACTGTAATCTCTGCTATGCATCGTTGCCCTCTTTTCTCAGCTGCCTGTTACRCTTCTTTGTTCTGGTGCTCAAACACTTCTGTCTGTGCGTTTGTGAGAGGAGCAGGATGGAGGTGGATTCAGCRTGCTCGTTTGGGTACAGCTGCTCGTAAGGTGCACTGAACAGAGACGATGAAGCTAAAGCTGTAGAAGTGAAGAAATCCCTTTAGCGTCTCGTTGGTTTCTGAAAGACTTGAGAAGAATGTTTGAGATTACCTCAAAAACGGGTTTTGAAGCTATGGGTACAAAGTTTCTCATGCCAAAGGAGGGTTTGGTTTTTGTGTTTGTAGGGCAGGGCGGTGCTGGAGTGTGGAGCCGTGAGCTTCTGTGTTTGACTGCTCTGCTCACCACGCCCCAGCAGTGCAGTCTCCACAGCTTTTCTCTTTGTTATCACACGGAGGCCTGTTTCCATTAATAAAAATTCCTGCTCAGTTACTAATTCTGCCG